CTGCCCAGACTCATCCTATCAGCTGCCCCCTCGGGCATGAGTCACATCATTTTAAAATTCAGGCACGGCTTGACCCCACACTCGCAGGATAATTCCTGTCTCTCTCTGGCGCTGATGCAGCGAGTGCACAGTTCTCTACCTCAGCTGTCTGGCTCTGAAGAGCAAACCCAGCGGTTTCCCAGCTCTGTCTCCCCAACCCCATCTCCAACCTTCTCCCCCTCCTGTCCGTATCTCACATCACTACCGAGATCAGGCTTCTCCATTTCAGTGTCTGCCTCTGGGAGTGTGAATCTAGCTCGCACCCTCAGCACTTGTGCTGATGAATATTGATAAATCAATTGACAAGGGGTAGAAAAAGGTTAAAATTAAATTAAAAAGGACTGTTCCGGCAAATGAACGTTTGTCTCACGTAGCTCTCAATAAATCTGAGCTACGTCCCGACAGACTAAGTATCAAAGTATGTGACCAAGCGGCCCTCAGGAACAGAAAACCCCCCACAATCCAGGGTGGGCTATAAAACATTTTCACATTCATAAAGTAAAACCCCAGAGAAACTGAAGACTCAAACTCCAGGAAATAAGTGTACCCATTTTATTCTAAACCTGCTTTCCTTCTAGCTTCATGATTTGGTCATTAGTTACAAAAGTTTTAGCAGCAGCATCATAAACCCAGAACAAACAGAGCAGCTTCCCATCTACAAATGATCTGGCCTAGCCTAGACAAAAACTGAAAGCAATTTTACCAAGCGATGGAAACGGGGTTATAAGATCAGAAAAGTGAAAAATGTGCCTTCAGATTCATTTGAATTCCCTTCCAGGTCTGTGACACTTTCTTCTCCGGCCCTCAGGGATTACAGCTATCAAAACAGTTGACTCTTAAGTATGGAGAGCCAGGGACACGATGGTAAGTGCCACCTTGGGAGGTGGAGGGACTGAACAGGGGCTGGATAAAACTCTCCATTGCTGGGACAGAGGCTGCTGTTTTGGGAATGGAGCGTTACGGTGATGGGGAAAGGAGGGAAACCCTCAGACTCACCCCATCACCTTCAAATAGCACAGAAGCTAAAACATCGCTGTGATGGGATCCCCAGGGTGCAGCCTGGGTCTGTGGAACCGCTGTGCCCCCTCCTCTCTCCAGCCTGGGCTGTGTCTCACAATGCTTTGCTAGTGACAAGCAGCAAACCCCTCCAGGCGCTGCGATCACTCAGCACAACAGCATGTGCAGCCATACACCCAGCTAGATTGCATGAATGCTTCCAGAGCCATTCATGAATCACACAAAGGAACCGGCCAAATTCCCTCTGCTCCCTGCACTGTACCTCAGGACTATACCATCTTTTAAAAATAATAATAATAATGGAGATATCCTATCTCCTAGAACTGGAAGGGACCTTGAAAGGTCATCGAGTCCAGCCCCCTGCCTTCACTAGCAGGACCAAGTACTCCTCAAGACGTGCAGTGCAAATGTATTAATTGGTTCACCACTTCATCAATGGAAAGTGGTTATACACCAACCTTTGCTAACCTGAGGAGGTTTAACCACACATTTCAGGCAAACTCACCGGTAAAGAGAAAAAGTAAAACAAATGTATTGACTACATAAGGTAGATTTTAAGTGATTATAAGTCAGAGTTAGCTACCAAAAGACAATAAAATATAAGCACGCAGTCCAAACTCTCAACCCTATTAGACTGGGCAACATCTAGATTAAGCAGTTTTTCTCACCCCACTGGATATTTCAGTGCTTAATAAACAGATTTGTCTCAAACCTGGGCCAGTCTGTTCTGTTGGAGTCTTCAGTCTTCTTCTGAGTGTCTTGTTGCTTGCAGCATAGGTGGGGGCAGGAGAAAGGCCAAGCATGCGGACACACTGTGTTCCGTGTTAAACCCTCGTCCATGTGCTTGGAGAACACAAGTCCAGGCATGTCTGGTGGGCATTGCTGGCCCAGACAAGGTTGAGCAATACCCCTCTTGTGGCCTTATGCAGGTGAGTCATTGAATTGTAACTCCTCTGCTGGACAATGGGTGGTCATGTCTATTTAGCACCCACCAGGGCATTGGTTACCTCTCATGTCATTGTCTCTGGAGAGCTAGCATCTGGGAGCTTCCCAAACTTACAGCATGTATTGCTGACAAGCATACAAAACAATTCTCATAACTTCACATGCATTCATGATATATATATTTAGCTAGAACAGAGACTTTCAGCAGATGATAGCCTTTCCCCTGATATCTCACATGGCCTGCTTTATATGCAATATCACAATGATAAATAAATGAGGAATACAGGGGTTACAGGATGCTCCCCCAAGGTACAGAATGTCACAACCACATTTTTCTGTCCCAGTTCCCACCTTTTTTAGCATCTGTTTAATTCTGGCCCATAAGGGAGAAAATGTACAAACACTCAACGCTTTTCAGCGCGGCCTGGAATAATGTGAGACTATCTGGGAATGAGACAATCCAGCCCCACGGGGGGACTCAGTGACTAACGATCACTCTGTTAATGGGGGGGATCTGAATAGAGAAGATGCTCCAGGTGAGTTTGTCACACTGTCTGGAGTGGTTCACAACTGGGTGTGCCGACCTCCAGGCGGATTAGCAGAAAACCGGGCAGACACCCCAGGCTGCTGGTTCATTCTGTAATTAGATTTCACCAAGCCAGTGATAAATGTGAACTCCTGGATCACTATCGCAGTCTTACCCTAGACTCACAGACAGTCCCCTTAGACTCTCCAGTCTGTCTTGCCAACCAGACAAACTGGAATTTGTGATAAATGGTCACTTAAACCAAAAATCACATCACATCACATTGCTCCCAGTCCCAAGAGATCAGCCACTTACCCCAGAGCAATTGGTACCCTAGATCTTACACCAAAGACAACGCAGGCAGCCTGTTCTATAGTAAATTAACTAAAGGTTCATTACCTAAGAAAAGGAAGTGAGAGCTATGGAGAGGTTAGAGCAGGTAAAATATAGGCAAAGGTGAGTCACAGTCTGTAATTCCAAAGGGTGGCAGTGATGTAATAAACTGACAGTTTCCCAAAGGTCTTTTCAGGGTACCCAGATTGTCCCTAGGGGTCACAGCTTTGTATCAGGTACATTTCCCTGTAAGAGTGCAGACAGCCCTGAGATGAACAAGCTTTCTCTGAATCCATACTTACGGCTTCCTCTCATAGGAAACAGGCTGACAGGGTCACTACCCACGTGAGCTTTCCCTTTAATAATGGAGAGTGAGGAATGCATTTTGAGTCTTTGATCTCCAATCCTCAGGCACAACGCCCACTTGCTTTGAAATAACACGTTTCTGTTAAAGTTCTTCATTTGCATTCCACTAGGCTTCTTCCTCATTTGATGGGTTATTTAGTTACAGGGTATACACAATGGAAATATTCACTACTACATTATAACAGGATATAGATAAGTGAAAACAATGCAAGTAACATCCCATTAGTTGCCAGGAAGTTTAAACATCAAATACACTCAGATACATTTAACAATCACTTTGATCTACCCTAAACGAAAGAAAGGAAAATACAGCTACTATAAGGTGGGTGAAAAACTGGTTGGATAACCGTTCCCAGAGAGAAGTTATCAATGGTCATGCTGGAAGGGCATAACAAGAGGGGTTCTCCAGGGATCAGTTCTGTGTCCAGTTCTTTTCAGTGTCTTCATCAACAATTTACATCATGGCATAGAGAGTACACTTATAAAGTTTGCAGATGATACCAAGCTGGGAGAGGTCGCAAGAGCGAATAAGATGAAAATTCAAAATGATCTGGACAAACTGGAGAAATGGTCTGAGGTAAATAGATTCATAGATTCTAGGGCTGGAAGGGACCTCGAGAGGTCACAGAGTCCAGTCCCCTGCCCTCATGGCAGGATCAAAGACTGTCTAGACCATCCCTGATAGACATTTATCTAACCTACTCTTAAATATCTCCAGAGATGGAGATTCCACAACCTCCCTAGGCAATTTATTCCAGTGTTTAACCACCCTGACAGTTAGGAACTTTTTCCTAATGTCCAACCTCCCTTGCTGAAATGTAAGTCCATTGCTTCTTGTTCTATCCTTAGAGGTTAAGGAGAAATATTTTTCTCCGTCCTCCTTAGCAACAATTTAGGTACTTGAAAACTATTATCTGTCAGTGTGCTTAGACACTGGAATAAATTGCCTAGAGAGGTTGTGGAATCTCCTTCATTGGAGATTTTTGAGAGCAGTTTAGACAACTATCATCTGGTACCACTGAGAACAGTCTAGATCCATCCTCTTTGGAACCCCCTTTCAGGTAGTTGAAAGCAGCTACCAAATCCCCCCTCTTTCTTCTCTTCTATAGACTAAACAATCCCAGTTTCCTCAGGCTCTCCTCACAATTTTTCCACATCCTTCTTGTAGTGTGGGGCCCAAACCTGAACACAGTACTCTAGATGAGGTCTCACCAATGTCCAATAGAGGGGAATGATCACGTCCCTCGATCTGCTGGCAATGCCCCTACTTATACAGACCAAAATGCCGTTAGCCTTCTTGTCAACAATGGCACACTGTTGACTTATATCCAGCTTCTCATCCACTGTAACCCCAGGTCCTTTTCTGCAGAACTGCTGCCTAGCCATTCGATCCCTAGTCTGTAGCAGGGAATGGGATTCTTTCATCCTAAGTGCAGGACTCTCCACTTGTCCTTGTTGAACCTCATCAGATTTATTTTGGCCCAATCCTCTAATTGGTCTACGTCCCTCTGTATCCTATCCTTACCCTCCAGCATATCTACCAGTCCTCCCAGTTTAGTGTCATCTGCAAACTTGCTGAGGGTGTAGTTCACGTCATCCTCCAGATCATTAATGAAGATATTGAACAAAACCGGCCCCAGGACCGACCCTTGGGGCACTCCACTTGATGTCGGTTGCCAACTAGACATGGAGCCATTGATCACTACGCGTTGAGCCCGACGATCTAGCCAGCTTTCTATCCACTATATGGTCCATTCATCCAGCCCACACTTCTTTAACTTGCTGGCAAGAATACTGTAGGAGATCATATCAAAAGCTTTGCTAAAATCAAGGAATAACACATCCACAGCTTTTCCCTCATCCACAGAGCCAGTTATCTCGTCATAGAAGGCAATTAGGTTACTCAGACGTGACTTGCCCTCTTCTTCCAAGTCTTTAAAAATACACATTTACATTTCAAACTCTAGCTTATCTAAGGTGGACACATTTTTAAAATCTCTCTCTAAAAGTTGAATCTGAGTCAATTACATACAAGTTGCTTAACCCTTTCATGCCATGTGTCACAGAAGTTTAGATCCTGTGTGGATTCTTCCATGTTTAATGAGGTCAGACCTCCGTATGAAACTTTTCCCGCAGTCCAAGCACTTGTGGGGTCTCGCTCCTGTGTGGATTGCCTGATGTTGAACAAGGTTTGACCTCAATGTGAAACATTTCCCACAGTCCAAGCATTTGTGGGGTCTCTCTCCTGTGTGGATTACCTGATGTTGAACAAGGTGTGACCTTTTTATGAAACTTTTCCCACAGTCCAAGCATTTGTTCGGTCTCTCTCCTGTATGGATTGCCTGATGATGAACTAGGTGTGTCCTCTGTATGAAACTTTTCCCACAGTCCAAGCACTTGTGGGGTCTTTCTCCTGTGTGGATTACCTGATGTTGAACAAGGTGTGACCTTCTTATGAAATTTTTCCCACAGTCCAAGCACTTGTGGGGTCTCTCTCCTGTGTGGATAGCCTCATGACGAACTAGGTTTGACCTCTGTATGAAACTTTTCCCACAGTCCAAGCACTTGTGGGGTCTTTCTCCTGTGTGTAATGCCTGATGTTTAACAAGGTGTGACCTTCTTATGAAATTTTCCCCACAGTCCAAGCACTTGTGGGGTCTCTCTCCTGTGTGGATTACCTGATGTTGAACAAGGCGTGACCTTTTTATGAAACTTTTCCCACAGTCCAAGCACTTGTGGGGTCTCTGTCCTGTGTGGATTGCCTCATGACGAACTAGGTTTGACCTCTGTATGAAACTTTTCCCACAGTCCAAACACTTGTGGGGTCTTTCTCCTGTGTGTAATGCCTGATGTTTAACAAGGTATGACCACTGTGTGAAACTTTTCCCACAGTCCAAGCACTTGTGGGGTTTCTCTCCTGTGTGGATTGCCTCATGACGAACTAGGTGTGACCTCTGTATGAAACTTTTCCCACAGTCCAAGCACCTGTGGGGTCTTGCACCTGTATGTAATGCCTGATGTTCAACAAGGGTTGACTTTCTTATGAAACTTTTCCCACAGTCCAAACACTTATGGGGTCTCTCCCCGGTGTGGCTTAACTGATGTCTAATTATTTGTGTCTTCGAAATGAAACATTTCCCGCATTCGAGGGATTGAGTGGGTTTCTCTCCAGTGTGACTTGTCCCATGGTTATTAAGATCTGAGAGCTTCTTGGGGCTTTCCCCATGGTCCAAGCACTGAAGGGGTTTCTCTCCAGTATGGATTGTCTGATGTGTCACAAACTGTGATCTCAAAATGAATCCTTTCCCACACTGAAGGTAGTGCCACGGTGTCTCTTGCTTGGGATTTGTCTGCTGCGCTCTGGGATCCTCCTCTCCTCCCGCACCGTTAATAGATTCATCCACTTTCTTCCCTGGGTGGTTTCCCAGAAGCCTCTCTGACCTGTGCCAACTTCCCCAGGTTTCTGCCTGCTCCAAGCACTTTGAAAAATTTCCTTCAGCTCTTCCCACAAAGGTCCCCTGCGGTTCCACTTCCCCGGGAACTTCCTCATGATGATTCCCCGCCTCATTCTCACTCCCTTGTTCAGCACCTGCTGGGAGAGACACAATCCAAACAGGAGTCATTGTGCTGGGGAGAAAGAGGAATAGCACAAAGGGAAAACCCACCACAAAGGGTACGTCTATACTTACCTCCGGGTCCGGCGGTAAGCAATCGATCTTCTGGGATCGATTTATCGCGTGTTGTCTAGATGCGATAAATCGATCCCGGATCGATCCCGGAAGTGCTCGCCGTCCTCGCCGGTACTCCTGCTCCGCGAGAGGAGTAGGCGGAGTCAATGGGGGAGCCTGCCTGCCGCGTCTGGACCTGTGGTAAGTTCGAACTAAGATGCATCGACTTCAGCTACGTTATTCACATAGCTGAAGTTGCGTATCTTAGTTCAAAGTGGCGGGTTAGTGTGGACCAGCCCAAAGACTGAGCAATTGGACTCCGCCTCCACATCCCACCCAAACACTCACAGGGATGGAAAGCTGGGAAGCAAACTCCTGCAGAGAAGAGGCTGGGTGGAATGGCGTGAGCTATATCTGATGACAGCAGCCCTGTCCTGGCTGAGATGAGGACGAACTGAGGGCGTCACTCACACCATATTTTGGTTACAAAGTATTCTTAAAACTACAATACCCACCTGCTGAAGTGAAAAAACAGATTGACAGAGCCAGAAGAGTACCCAGAAGCCACCTACTACAGGACAGGCCCAACAAAGAAAAGAACAGAACGCCACTAGCCGCCACCTTCAGCCCCCAACTGAAACCTCTTCAGCGCATCATCAAAGATCTACAACCTATCCTGAAAGATGATCCCTCACTCTCACAGTTCTTGGGAGACAGACCAGTCCTCGCTTACAGACAGCCTCCCAACCTTAAGCAAATACTCACCAGCAACCGCACACCATACAACAAAAACACTAACCCAGGAACCTATCCTTGCAACAAAGCTCGATGCCAGCTCTGTCCACATATCTATTCAAGTGACGCCATCATAGGATCTAACTACGTCAGCCACACCATCAGGGGCTCATTCACCTGCACATCTACCAATGTGATATATGCCATCATGTGCCAGCAATGCCCCTCTGCCATGTACATTGGCCAAACTGGACAGTCTCTACGCAAAAGAATAAATGGACACAAATCTGACATCGGGAATCATAACATTCAAAAACCAGTGGGAAAACACTTCAACCTCTCTAATCACTCAGTGACAGACTTGAAAGTGTCAGTTTTGCAACAAAAAGACTTCAAAAACAGACTCCAAAGAGAGACTGCTGAACTTGAATTAATATGCAAATTAGACACAATTAACTTAGGCCTAAACAGAGACTGGGAATGGTTGGGTCATTACACTAATTGAATTTTTTTCCCCCATGTTAAGTTCTCCTCACACCGTCT